TATATGCAAAAAGAAAAATATATATTGATTTTTTTAACTCTATATAATCAAGGTACACATTAACATTTTTCCTTAAACTTTCTGATAGTATTGAGAGATCCTAATAATCTTAGAAACGGGTTACAATAATGCTGTAAAAGGGGTTTTTTTTGAAGCAGGACACAGAAATACACACACACACACACACACACACACACACAAACATGCACTTTCTGCAATTTGAGAGTTGTACTTCAGCACGCTAAGTTGCTCCTGGGTAGATGTTCTTGGAAACTTCTACCCCTTTTGCCCTTTTCTGCATTTGGGGGGGGAGGGGTTCTTCTTTTATCCCACCATCCCCCCCCCCCCCCAATCTGTCTCACCCTTCCCCCCAAATTCACTGTATTGTTTCAACTCGGTTTGATATTTACAGCCTGCACTTCCTTCTCCCCCAGATCTTTCTAAAAAGAAAATACTGTATTGTTTGCCAAATAATGGTCTTCCTTGGTAACTATTCACAAGGACAGGTTTTTCTCTGAAAGTTTTAACTTTTAAATGCAGGAAGGTTGAAATGCTGGAACTTGTTTTTTGGGAAAAGAAGACATATTTATGGCATTCTGACCTGTTTTACCTAGCGTGTATGTAGCCCTGGAAGGCCACATTCAGCAGGGCGTGCTTTGCTGCCTGGCCTGAGTAGCTGGTGTTTTTCAAGGAAATCACAAGCCTAAAAATAGTCTGCATAAACAACTGCAGAACAGTTTTGCCTCTTTTTTTTTTCCTACTTCGCTATTTGGAAATTTCTTGTACGTTCTCTTAACTGTGCCAGTGTATCCGAACCCATTGGCACGAGTAGCACAAAAAAAAAAAAAACAATATTTCTAGGTGATTGCTAGAAATAAATATTGGATATACAATCTTGTGAAAAAGCAAAACCAGCAAGGATTGTTATGTTTGAATTAGCAAAGCTGAAATGGCACGAGTCAAGCATAGCCATTCAAAGCCCGTAATAATTGTTTTAGCAGTTTATTTTAGCAGTTTATTGCTATTTGCCGGTTTTGCTTCTCTACTTAGAATTAATCCACTCAGCTTCCCCAGAAATATTTGTCAATTGATTTGATTGATTAAATCAGAGGTGGGGAACAATGGCCCCTTTATGACTTGTGGACTTCAACGCCCACAAGTTGAAGTCCACAGGACATTAAAAAAGCCATCGTTTGCCACCCGTGCTCTAAGATAGCATGGCTGGCTGGGAAATTCTGGGAGCCTGGATTAAATGATTGTCATTTTCAGCTTCTACCAACCACCTGGATTGATTTTTCTCCTTGACAAACTATCCTAACCTGGTCTTCCACTGTGCACTCAATCAGTACTGTCTGTCTACCTTGCTCTGATAGCAATAGCACTTAGACTTATATATACCACTTCACAGTGCTTTACAGCCCTCTCTAAACGGATTACAGAGTCGGCATATTGCCCCCTCTTCTCTTTTCTTCCACCTTTCCCAGCATTAGAGCCTTTTGCAAGAGCCTTCATGTAATGTATGATTATTTGAACCTGGTCAAATGAGAATTCTGGGTTAATTCGTTTGATCCACAGTGTTCTCAGGAGTCTTATCCAACTCCAACATTCAGAAAGTGTCGGTGCTCTTCCTATCCTGCTTCTTCAAAGCCCAACTTTAATTTCCATAAAGTGTCATAGAAAAAAATACCCTGGTTTGCACTATCCTGATCTTTGTAGGTATGTTCACATAACAGATAACAGATAATCAAAGTTGGAAGGGACCTTGTAGGTCATCTAGTCCAATCCCCCGCCCAAGCGGGAGACCCTACACCATTTCTGACACTTGAGGCATAGTTTTAATTTGGACTTTAGTTTATTCATGTAGTCCTGCCCAGCAAACCCCCATAGAAATCCTGTTTCTATGACTTCTAAAGTAAAGTTGCCCTTGATCAGGTGTGAGTCTGGTTGATTGTAGGGGCATGTGGAGCAACGTGGAAATGGCTTGCTTTCTTCTATTGCCCTTTTCATGAGTTCTATTACATCCACACATAATCTGGCATTTTTTGATAACCTCTCATCCATGCACTATCCAGGTCAAACTCTTCTCTGATTTTTTGACATCAGCAAAGTTGGCTAGGTGCTGCCACCTGATGTTACATCTAAGTGTTGCTCTTTCTTTCCTTTCTTCCTTCCCTCCCTCCCTCCCTCCTTCCTTCCTGCCTTCCTTCCTTCGTCATAGATTCTCCCTCTCTCTCTCACTGTAAATTGTAAACAAGTGACTTAAAACCTATTGGAGAATCAGAAAAAGATAGTCTCCCTGCCCCTCTCATAGGATCCCTATAGTATTATAGTTGAAGTCAGTTATTTGTCATTACATTGTTATATTTTTGTTAATACTTTAACAAATATATATTGTTCAGATTACATAGATTGACAAATTATCCCTATTTTTCTTCTCTTACTGTTTAAGTCCAGATAGATGGATAGAAAGACAAATATGAGATTTATTAGGGCCATACCTATGTGTTTTATGTATAAATATGATAAAAATGAAACAAGGAAAACAAAGATACATGATAAATCTAAGTCAAGAATCAGCAAGCACCTTCACATAGTGTTGCACTATGATCAATGTATCAGCATCTTCCAAGATTAAAAATGTGGCGATCTTGAGAGATGTTGGCCATTTAACTATTTTTGTGCCAGGAGACACAATCTTTCTATAGGTAGTCCTCGACTTACGATCACAATTGAGCCCAACATTTCCTTTGCTAAGCAATACAGTTGTTAAGTGAGTTTTGCCCCATTTTACAACTTTTCTTGCCACAATTGTCAAGTGAATTGCTGCACTTGTTAAGTTAGTAACGGGGTTACTATGGGTTAATCTGGCTTCCCCATTTACTTTGTTGTCAGCAGGTTGCAAAAGGTGATCACATGACCATGGGACACTGCAACCATCATAAGGACATGCCAGTTGCCGAGTGTCCGAATTTTAATCATGTGACCATGGGGATGCTGCTGTGGTTATGTGAAAATCGGTCATAAGTCACTTTTTTCAGTGCTGTTGTAACTTCATACAGTCACTAAAAGAATGGTTATAACTCGAGGACTACCTATATATGCAATATTGCCAACCCCAATGTGCTGTTTCCATATTCAGACAGTTGCTGTATCTGTTGTGACAAGGTCTAGATATTACTCAGGCCGTCTACGGTTCCAAGAAGCTACTCAGGAAACTTCATTTTTCCATAGATTCCTCTGATGCATATGCCAGTCTCTCCCTCTGAAGCTGCTATGTTACGCTGTCTTCCATTGGTGCCTGAAAGTTCAGGGAGGATTTGTAGCACCGGAGAACAGCACATAAACTAAAAATTCCCTCATTACTCATGTCTTCTGGCTACACATTGAGTCTGGTCTGCTGGAGCCAAACCGAATATGGCACAGATCCTCAAAATGCATAAGAGGAATCTAAAATGGTGTAATTCCTCTAGGGCCCAATGTGGGGTGGGGGGTGTTGCTGGACAGACCCCCCCATTACCTTCCTTCTAATTTATATTTGTATTAATAAATAGGAAGCAGTTACCTCTAGAGCCTGCAAGAAAGCAAATGAATGATAAATTTATGGTATTTTGAGGCAATTTGCAGCTGAAAAAAATTAACATGATTAATGAAGAACTGACAGGATATTTGTTTATAATTGGATGTCCTATGAACACAATATTACTTTATTATTTTGCATCAAATTGCTCACGGTGTAAGTCCAGCATCTTGTCCATTAGACCAGGGGTCCCCAACCACCGGTCCACGGACCGATACCGGTCCGCGGAACAACTCTTACCGGGCCGCTGGTTGCTGGGCGCCGCCATCTTTTTTTGGTAAAAAAGTGCTTCCGGTGAGCTTTTCCAGGTAGAAAGCTCACCGGAAGCACTTTTTCATCAAAAAAAGATGGCGGCGCCCAGTTGATGCCGGTACCGGGCCGCGGTGCCCAGCTGATGCCGGTACCGGGCCGCGGCGTCGAAAAGGTTGGGGATCCCTGCATTAGACTACTTATTCTCTTTGTGTAAGCATCTCTTCAGTCATTACAGTAGAAGCAACATGGATACTTGGATTGTAGGCACCTAATAATTGGCATAAATAATGGTGATTTATTTGTTATTGTTCTGCATTTTTGCTACCCTGTATTCCTATGCAAATGCCACCCCTTTAAACTCCCAAGTTCAAAAACCTGTTAAAAGAAACATAAGAGATTTGAGGGAATACTCCCAGCTCTTGATGAAATATCTTCTTCTGGAGTGACTCAATATGGAATCAATTGATAGAATGATCCATCCTTGTGCTGCTTAGCTTGCAGTATCCTTGAATGTTACTTTGAATTAGTTCGAACAAGCATTTTTTTTCAGGCTTCCAATAAACAGGATGAGAGCCAGACCAATGTACATGTAGTCCTTGACTTACAGCCACTCGTTTAGCAACAGTTCAAATTTACAATGGCACTGAACAAAGTGACCTACAACTGGTCACCCTAGTCAAATTTGGGTGCTTGGCAATTAGCATGTATTTATAATGGTTGCAGCATCTCAGGCGGTCATGTGACCACCATTTGAGATATTCCTAGTCTGTGGTTCTTGACAAGCAAAATCAGTGAGGGGAAGCCAGATTCACTTAATGTCTGTGTGATTCACAACTGCAGTAACTCATTTAACAATCATGGCAGAAAAAAAAGTTTTTAAAATCAAGCACAATTCACAGCTTGCTTTGCAGTAGAAATTCTGGTTCCAGTTACAGTCAAAAGTTGAGGAGTACCTGTAGTGATTAAAGGCACAGAGCTATGTTTTCATTGCATTTTGTGGTGTGCTATATTGATGTGGTTACAAAAGTAAACTTATTTAATTACCCATTAACAGTGATCTAGAAACTGGAGGGTCCTGCCATAGGCTTTTCAATATGGATTCTTTTCAAAATTATAAAAAATTGTTATGTTCTTGTGTAAATTTATCAGTGAAAATATTTTCTTCCTCTAGTTTCCTAGACAAGATTGACATAGTCAAGCAAAATGAATATACACCTTCTGACCAGGTAAGTAAAATGCTTTTTGAGAAAATGAAGTTACATTTCTTCAAAACATCTAGTCTATAGATTTCTTTTGTTCAAAACCTGATTGTTTTAGTAGTGTCTGGAACAAAGTAATCAGACCTACCACAGGGTAACTTGCTTGATCACAAGTACTCACAGCCCATTCCAAGTCCCAACTCAAGCTTCGAGTTTTAAATTTTAAAACTCTAAACAATAGAACTATGCAGCACTTCACATTCTGTTCATACATGAGCTTCAGAACTCATGGGGGTGTAGATGTGACTTTCTCTGCAGCTCTTTAAAAGAGCTCAGTCCAAGTTGTTTGTCACCTGTGGCTGCCATTTGATCCTAAAAAAAAAGGAGTGGCTATTTTAAAGAATTGGAGGTTGGTTGGTTGGTTGATTAAGTGGTTAAGTGCCATCAAATCAGTGTCAGCTCTTGCAACCATATAGATAGGTAGACCTTATCAAAGATGATCTGTCCCCAACGTGGCCCTTAAGGTTTTCCAACAACACATCTGTTTCTATTGTGATTGAGAGTATCCACCTTCTTCTATTAATCTCATTTTGTGCCTCCCATGTTTTCTAGCAGGTTCCCTATTCATGTCTTTGTGTGTTCTAGCTAGAATATATTTCAGAATAAAATCCATAGTTTCACATAGTCCTAAGATTGTATCTTCCTTGTGTTCTGTCCTGCATATGATTTTCATTTTCTGAACCTCTGCTTTGCATTGTAGTATAGAATGCCCTTTTGTGAGATTTTCCAAACTTATTTAGTTGTTCACCTGAAGTAAGTGGAGTTCTAATTAAAGATGAGAGCATGTAGAAAGAAAGTAGGGGAAAATGACCCCAATCCATAAATGAATAACTTTTCTATTTTATTGGTGGGGGGACCCTACTGTTATAAACATATACAATTAACTTTTATAAACAATAGATATTTTTATCATAGAGGATATTAAAAATTAACTACTACCTATATTTCATTTTTCCAAAACTACGTTTTTTTTCCTCCACATTTTTCAGAAGTTTTTATCTCTAACTATAATCCACGTCAAAATGAGAGAAGGTTTTAGAAGTGTGTCTGTTTTCCATGGTTTCAAATTTTCCTTTGTGTCATGGTTTTCTGAGCTTATGGGTTGCTGTTTTTATCAACTGATTGTTTGGTTTCCAAGTTAGTATATTTTAAACTGTTTCTTAACTTTACAAATTTTATTTATTCTGGTAAGCGGCTTTGTGTTGCTAGGTAGGACTGGAGGAAATGGAAGAAAAAAATATGAGATTAAAAACCTGAGGTATAAATTACATTACTGTACATTTTTTACAAAGAACCTAAAGTTGTTATTTCGTTGACCCATTATTCCCTAAGGCTTCTATTTTTTTTTAAATAGAATGTTCTTTTAAGGGTAAAAACTCTTCTTTTTTTAAAAAGGACCTTCTTAGATGCAGAGTTCTGACATCAGGAATATTTGAAACCAAGTTTCAAGTGGACAAAGTAAATTTCCAGTAAGTATCACTAATAGTGGATGCTTAAATTGAGACTGGGCATTAAATTAACAGTGAGATAGTAGAAATGTGCAAAATATTCCATAATATAGTGATCTAACTTGAGAAAAAGCCAATTCAAGCAAGGTTTTTCCTGTATTTCTGGAAGTAGGCATGGTTTATGGCCAGACAACATTTGGAATAACATAAAGCACTTCAGCATCCAGACAGTCTAATTTGAGAAATACATTAACACTCTGTCCTACCCCATCCTCTGTTCTTATATTGACCTATTTTTGAGGAAAACAGAATGTTCCAATAACATGTCTATGAAAAATTAATATAACTATATCCATGTTGTGGTAAATAAAAATGTTGTTCAGTTCTGTTCTATTTCATTTTTATAATCATCTAAGTTAGTTTTGAGGGCCAGTTTGGTATAGTGGTTAAGGTCTCAGGCTAGAAACCAGCAGACTGTCTTGGGTACAAAGCTACTAGGAGTCCTTGGTCCAGTCACTTTCTTTCAGTCCTAGAAATGAGGCAGTGGCAAACCATTTCTGAAAAAATCTTACCAAAAAACTGCAGGGACTTTTCCAGGCAGTCTCTGAAAATCAGACACAATTAAAAAGAAAAAGAAGAAAGAAAGATAGTTTTAGCTTTTTTTGTAAGCTATAAAATTTTCAAATAATACAAATTCATAACTACAGCAACTAATAAAAAGTTCACAATCACCTAAATAACGTACTTCAATTTTTAACTTGCAATATTAGTTGTTGGAGAAAACACTTTCAATGAGCAGGCTGAAAAGACATTTGGAATATACATTTGAAGTATTGTCAGTGTTTGTTTTCCATCATTCTAATAGCATTTTTTGCAGCCTGCAACTGTTTGGCGGGGCGGGGGGGTGTTTAATAATCCTGCTTCCCTAGTTCTGAATCCCTCCCATTCTTTTTTTCTTTTCAGTATGTTTGATGTTGGTGGGCAAAGAGATGAACGTCGAAAATGGATCCAGTGTTTCAATGGTAATATTTGGAAATCTGTTAACTTGTGATAGACTATGAACACCTTCCATGTAATATAAACTGTATATTAATGTTAAAGTGCAACTTTCCAATTACCTGAATACCATATATCTACTGTTTGGCACTTTGAGGTTGTCTCCATACCAGCTCAGCTCTTTAGTTCATTTGCAAACCTTCACTTTGTTTTCCAATGTCCTTTTATTTAGCTTCCATCACTTGTGATTAAATTACAAAATAGGAATGAATATTTCTCTCTCTCTCTCTCTCTCTCTCTCTCTCTCTCTCTCTCTCTCTCTCTCTCTCTCTCTCACACACACACACACACACACTGAACTGCATGTTTTATTCCTTTCTATGGACCTATATTATGTATCCTACAAAATATCTTTTTTTCCTCCAGTCACATTAGAGCTGCATTTTAATTGATTTTTTTTCTTCCCTCCCTTAGTATCATACTTATTTTTCTTCTTTTGAACTTATTCTTCTCTAAGTGATTTACTCACATTTGAACTGTTCACCTTTTCCCTAAGCTTTTCCATTTTCTCTTTTTCTATCTTTTTTTCTTTACGGAGCCGAATTAAAGAAAAATACATTCAAAGCCAAAGATTATTGATTAACGGATGTTTTCCTTTGCTTTTGTTTTTTAGATGTAACTGCTATAATATTTGTGGTAGCCAGCAGTAGCTATAACATGGTTATACGAGAAGACAATCAGACCAACCGGCTTCAAGAAGCATTAAACCTCTTCAAAAGTATCTGGAACAACAGGTCTGTCTCTTTAGTTTTGACCAGTCATATCATTCATAATGCTAGCTTATGTTTATTCCTGTCTGTATTGTGTAAGACACCGAACCTAAGAGAATGTACATTATTTCAGTGAAGTATTTTTTAATTATTCATTTATTAAATTTGGATGCCACCCTTCTCACTATCAAGCGACTCTGAATAATTAATATGATGTCCTAAAGATTTTGCTTTGTATTCCTTTATACTTTGTTTTATTGCCAGTTAACAATATATCGGCCTGTTTCTCTAGGTGGCTACGGACCATTTCAGTTATTCTTTTCCTGAACAAACAAGATTTGCTAGCAGAGAAAGTTTTGGCAGGCAAATCTAAAATTGAAGATTACTTTCCAGAATTTGCTCGTTACACCACACCAGAAGATGGTAAGAAAGTTGATAGTACATTTTGAAAAATGTTTTTCTCTGTTACTATAGAAAAAAAAGTGAGAGAAAGAAAGAAGGGATTGATTTTTCCTGTCTAATCTTTATGTGATAACAATTGTGTATAAAAATTGTGATAAACAATGTATAAATGTTATATACAATTGTTATAAACAGTGTGCAATTGTGTAGGATTTTTTTTTACTCTTTTTGTGATCACTAATTGTTATTATATAATGTCTGATGCAGTTTTCTTTCTTTCAAACTGCTTGCAAGTATAAATCAGACAAATGCTTGATCCATGACGGAGTATTGTCAGTGATAGGCTTCTGTTAAAAATTATTCAGAGTCCATAATTTTCAGGGTAAGCAATGAAGAGCCTTCCAAAAATCATCAAAGTATTTAGCCTAAAACCTGGATATTTTTCCTCTCTGAGACAGAGCAGAATGTATCCACCAAGAGGATTCCTTCTGTTAACAGAAAACTTCTAAAATTTTGGGAACAGCTTTGTATGAGGAAAAAATGTCTCTGATCCAGTGAGATCCTTTTCTTTTGTTGTACTTTTTTCAGTAACATTTTATGGTCCTGTGTAGTTTCTAGACCGGTTCACTTTTTGAAATGATTATTCATTACATCTCTCTTTCTATAATACGAAGACTAGAGATCTCTGCAAGCAGATCACCCACAGTCCCCAACACTTAGATTGTGGTTCCAGAATATCCCAGGTCACAGATCCAAAATGCAGTGACAAACACTGGGCAGAGGTCCCCAACCTTTCTGGCTTTGCAGTCTAGCAGGGAGAAGAGGGGATGGTTCCGTGCAAGTGGCGGGCAAGCACGCGCAGGTCTATTTGCATAAAAATGCTCATGCAAATGGAGCACACACGTGCCTGCCTGCTACTCCCACAAGGAGGATTGCACCCGCCACTTCTGCGGCCTGGTCCCAAACAACTCAATGCCTGGTAGTGGGCCACGCCAGTGATGGGATTCAAAATTTTTTACTACCAGTTCTGTGGGCGTGGCTTGGTGGGCATGGCAGGGTAAGGATACTGTAAAATCTCCATTCCCTCCCCACTCCTGGGGGAAGAATACTGTAAAATCTGCATTCTCACCCCACCTCACTAACCTGTTCTCCAGCTCATTTTCCTATGCAGGGCAACAAAAGAAGACCCAGCTGATCAGCTGGGACTCGGGAGGCAGAGAATAGAGGGGGTGGGGCCAGTCAGAGGTGGGATTTGCCGGTTCTCCGAATTACTCAAAATTTCCACTACTGGTTCTCCAGAACTGGTCAGAACCTGCTGAATACCACCTCTGGCCACAGCCCAGGAATTGGGGACCCCTGAGTTAAGCCATCTACTAATTTTCAGGCCAGTCCTCATTGATGCTTCACCTTACATCTTGTTAAGATCAAAAAATAAATAGGAGAAAATAGTGTAAAATAACATATTTATTGTTGTTTGAATTTCAGGTCTTTTATCTGAATCATTTTAATTAATTTGAAGTGAATGGGTCTGAGTGAGATTTATTTTTATTTTATTTATTTATTTAGAGAATTTATATGGCTACTCACTCGCTTTCAGGGGCACTAGGTGGCTTCCCAAAAAAATAAAATCCCAATATGCAAAGAGTAAAAACAATAATCTTCCCTACTCTTTATGATTGTTGGTGTTTTGTTAAAGCCATTTGAGTGCAACAATAATAATGAAAATGCAGCTGCCAGCTGATCCACTCTTCTAATAGGCAGCCCTTCATACAATGTGAGTCTATATTTAAAGAGGTGTTTTGCAATGCTTATGCTTTTTCGTGGAATGACACTAAAATATTTTCTTTAATCCCTCCTGCGAATTCAAATAAAAGTAATTCCTATTGCAAGATAACCATTTTTGTTGTTCTTTACTTTTTTTAAAAAACGAGCAGCAACACCAGAACCTGGCGAGGATCCTAGAGTTACAAGGGCCAAGTATTTTATTAGAGATGAATTTCTTGTAAGTAGCCTCTCTTTACTGTTCCTGTTTTTATCAAACATGCCCTTGCTTCTGCTTGCTTTTACAGTCAACTACTTTCAAAGTTTAGAGCTATTTAAACTTTTTTTGTTTGAGAAGCGTCTCGGTAACTGCGCAAAGCAGAATTGACATTTGAGAAATATCGATGGACATTTCTGAGATAATGTGATTGGAGTGACCAAGTGTTTTAACTTGGGGTGTCATAGGCAGTCCTCACTTACCAATCACCATTGGGAGCAACAACTCCAGGACTTTGGTTGTTAAACAAAAAAATAATAAATCATGTGACAGTGTCAAAGGTATGACATCACTGTGCTTCCATCATTAAGTGAATCCCTGCATTTATAAAACAGGCATCGTGTGACTGCAATTTCACTTATAGAATAATAGGGAAGGGACCTTGGAGGTGTTCTAGTTCAACCCTCTACTCAGGAAGGAAAAACTATAGACCATTTCAGACAAATGGTTGTCCAATCTGTTCAGAATAGAATAGAAGAGCACAGAAGAAAAGAGAAATATAGAATAGAATAGAAACATAGAATAGAAGAGAATAAAAATGTAGAGTAGAAGAGAAGAGAAATGTAGAATGGAATAGAAATATAGAATAGAATAGAAATATAGAGGAGAAGAGAAGAGAATATAATACAAATATAGAATAGAGTAGAGTAGCGTAGAATAGAATAGAAATTGAATATGAAACAGAACAGAATAGAATAGAATTCTTTATTGGCCAAGTGTGGTTGGACACACAAGGAATTTGTCTTTGGTGTACATAAAAAGGGTTCATTAAAAACCTGTGTTCTCCCTTGATTCTGCTTGTTGGAGGCCAGTTGTGAAACTTGCAAATGGTGATCAGGTGATCATAGGATGCTGTGATGGCCATAAATATGAGGACAAGTCACAAAGCTGCTTGTTTTCCAACCACTGTGACTTCAAACAGTTGCTAAACAAGGCAATTGGTAAGCGAGGATACCCTGTACAGTCTTATGACTTACAACCAAAGTTGACTCCAAAATTTCTGTTGTTAAGCGAGACAACTGTTAAGTGAGATTTTCCCCATTTTATGACTTTTCTTGCCACAATTGTTAAGTGAATCACTGTGGTGGTTAAGTTAGTAACACGATTATAAAGTGGAATCTGGCTTCCCCATTGGCTTTGCTTGTCAGAAGGTCACAAAGGGTGATCACATGACCTTGAGACATTGCAACAGTCATAGGAGTCAGTTGCCAGGCGCCTGAATTTTGATCATGTGACTACGGGGATGCATTGTAACTTCAAACAGTCAGTAAACAAACTGTTGTAAGTCGAGGACTTCCTGTACAGCGTTTTTACTTTGGTCGTTCCATCACAAATTCATGGAATGTAGTAGTGATTCATTAGCATTGAACCATCACCTTAACAATCATCATCATTTAATGACCCCATAATCCCTTGCGAGTCTGGGGAACTGAATGGAGCTAGCAGAGTGTTTAATGGCCAGATGCCCTTCCTGTCACCAATGTGGAGTTTTGTTCAGCAGATATATTCTCATCGTGCCCAGAGAGAGAAATATTTGCCTCTACCTAGGATCGAACTCACAGCCTCCTGATTGTGAAGCGAGAGCTCCACCTCTAGGCCACCGCTCCATTCTTAACCACCGCCTTAACAATACTGTTTTTAATCTTTTTTAATCATAGATTCAGAAGAGTATGGATTTGAACAAGTGTAATTTGCATCGACCTAGTTATCAGCAATTTAGCCCACAAAAACGCGTATTTTTAAAACCGAATTCTCCATTCAATTTGCTGGCTGATTTTTCCAGAGGATTTATATTCAATCTGTATTTGTCAGGACATATCAGATTCTTAGGGGGGAAAGAGTCTAGAGAAGGGGGAGGAAATAGATGATGTGCTAGAAAAACTGATGTGACTTTTCTATCTGCTGCTCTTCCAGAGAATCAGCACAGCCAGTGGAGATGGACGGCATTACTGCTACCCTCACTTCACCTGCGCCGTAGATACCGAAAACATTCGGAGAGTTTTCAATGACTGTCGGGACATTATTCAAAGGATGCATCTTCGCCAATATGAGTTGTTGTGATGGAGCGCACTTTTTCCTCATGTTTTGGACTCCTTGTTCCTTACTAAAAAGAAAACAAAAAACTGGCCCACATAGGGTGGAAGAGAACTATTGCAGTCTCTCTCTCTGATTTGCATCCCTCAGTCTTTTTTCCTTGCTGGACAAAGAGCAGCCTTTCTGTCTCGTTTCACTCCCTTGGAACGGTCGGAAATAGTCCCCGAAAAAAAAAAAAGGCTATTTCTGCGGTCAGGGTGAGGTTTCCTCTTTAAACATGGCCTTTAACGAAACAAAACCCAAACAATGCAAAACAAAAGAATTAACGCGGAAAGGTGAAGCACCTGAGAGGATTTGGGATTTCAATTAAATATTTAAAAGCAGACAAAAACACACACCAAAAAGAGAGAGAGAGAGAGAGAGAAAGAGGAGGGAGAACTTTAGATAATCATTACTGTTGTGGGCATGATCATTTATCCCATGATTTCAACTCTGTATCCATTCACTGCGTCCAACTAAGGAAGGTGCCAAGTTCTAAGGGCAGCCACTTCGGTTTGGGTTTTTTGCCTCTGAATGTGACTTTGAGTGGAAATACTGACATTTCTATGGCAAACCTAGACAGTAGAAAACCATCTGCTACCTTCAGAAAAGCGTTGCTGAACCGTGATGATCCTGATTATCAGGAACAGTGCAAAATGAACTGCATTATAGCCTGTGATTACAGAAAGATTTAACCACACACTGTTTTCAGTTTGTCCACTGTCGATCCTATCTTTTTATTTTATATATATATATATATATATATAAAATCTTTATATATATATAAAATCATCTTCTCCTGTTCCCGTCTTTCCCCTTCTTCTATTTCCTCTTATCCTCCTTCCATGCCTTCTTTTTTCCCCCCACCCCTCCCAGTTTTTATTTTACTGCTGGATTATTATTCTTGTACAGACTGTAAAATGTATTATTTTGTACAACTTTATTGAAAAAAAAATAACTTGTAGAAGATCTTTGTGCCTTGATTATGGCTGTACCTGTGCAATGAGCTAAGATGTAAGTATGTTTGATTGCGCTGTACAGCTTTGTCAAACCTTTCAGCAGCATTCGCTCAAGGTAGGGAAAAATTTATCTGTAGTTTAGGGATTTTTTTCTGGTTTATAAAAGGAGGAAAAAAATACTGTTTAGTATATTAAAAAAAAAGTACAAATCGTGCAAACTTTAACCACTTTAAAAGTGAGTTCTACAACAAGCGAGCAGATGTTTCAGCATCATGCTTTTTAATTTTTAGCTTTAATTCATTTAAATCTCTATCCAAATGCAAAACATGGCTTGTTTCTACATAAACCAAATTTTGCTACAAATTATCAATGTTAGTCTTTGTCATTCATAGTATTTTTTTTGTGCAAAAAGATAAAAACAGAACAAAAAAAGAATATTAATATTATAGGCACTGCACAGGCCTAGAGGCTGTCTTCATGCTGGGTCTAACTAAGACTTTTCCACCCAACGCTAACTCCTCTAACAGGCATAATGATAAAATGTACCTTGCCCCTAGATCTGGTCACTGAATTTCAGTTTCAAATGACATTTTACTTCTCTTTTAATAAAGAGATAACTTAAAACATTGTTTTATATATTAACTATATAAGTAGCTTAAAGTGGAGACGTGTGGAATTTTTTTTCTTAAACTTGAATAATTTATGCAAATTATATGCTTAGGACAACATGTGGTACAGTTTTTAAAAAAAGCAAAAATCACTGTAGCAATAAGACAGCATGTAATTTTAGTAACTATTACACTGCTTTATATTTTATACTTAGATGTTTCATGTCTTTGTGAGCATATTACTTTTTCATGTGTCTAAACCTACCTGTACAAATTTGTACAAAGTCTAAAATTACAGCTATAATAACACGTCTAGAACAGTGTTATCCTACTTTCCTCAAGCCCACTTCTTGACCCCTGAAGTAGGGGAACCTGGGTCTTAATACAGCGATTATTTTTTAAAATTGCCTTTTACACACATGCTTCTATTTTCGCAGGGCATCACCTAAGCTTCCCTGTTAGGAAGGCATCCCTTTCGGAAACTGTCTTGTCCCCCCAATTTCTGCTGGTGGCAGGAAGACTTTGTGACATCCAAGGACTCTACATATTCCAGGTTTTTCACATGGGCAATTGGAGAAAATTGAGAAAACGTATTTCCCTATCAATTTTCACTTTTAATAGACACGAAATGGTGGTGATCATTCCGTTTTTAGTTGATTAGCACCATTAGCCAATACGAGGATATATTTCTTCCTGGTAGAATAGAAACAAGTGCAATGTCTTTTACAAAAAAATCCTTCTTGGTGTTGGCCCTCCATGCATAAATTTGGGGTAATGGGGCAATCAAGGGGAAGGAGCATATCTTTTCCCGAGTTTTCCTTTCTGGTTTCTGCTACTGCAGTATCCAAGATCAACGAATCACATCAGATTTTAAGAGACAGCGTCTATCTCCTTGGGTATAGGAGCTGAAGCTGTTGAACAGTTGGCAACAAACAGTTGACTGTATCTGCCCCAGGGCCTTTGCATCTCAGCCTGTGTCTGTCTGCTATTAAGTGGAGTTAAAACATCAAATTGTAATTGTAAAACTCTTTGAAGAGGTACTGCCTTGTGAGCATTAGGAATCAGTGGCAAAGTCTGATCCAGAAATTCATTTTTAGTTGGTGCCTGCTGGGGATTCGGGGGGAAAAGAAAGAAAACCTATACACTAGCATTTCTCAACTTCGGCAACATTAAGCTGTGTGGACTTCAGCTCCCAGAATTCCTCAACCAGTTGGCTGAGGAATTATGGGAGTTGAAGTCTACACAGCTTAAAAGTTGCTGAAGTTGAGAAATGCACTCAATGTATGTAAATGCACTCTCAGACACATATACACAGACTATGAAATGTGAGCCTTAATAATTATTATTTTTTAAACAAAAGCCAAAACTTGTTTAGTGCCAAAATTATTTTATTATCTCTAAATCCTAGGGAAGGGAAGAAGATGAATAATAATTAAATGAAGTATTTACAAGGAATGTAATGTGTGATCTAGGAAAAACAAAATATTGCCTCATCTTTAAAAGTAAGGACTCTGGGTGAATAGATAAAAGTTTATGTGATAAAGTATATCTGCATGTGTGCATATGCGCACTTACACACATCCCATTAAAATATACTTCCTATGGAGCTTTATATGAATGGAAACATTTGACAGATTTTTTAAAAAAAGTTGGGTTGGAGGGAGCAGTTTGGTTTGCACATGTCTAGAAAGAAAACCAGTGTGTATGTGTGTGTGTCTTTCTGCCTCTGTTAGCACGTCTCTTGAGTTTGTGCAATTTGGTGGCCTGGTTAACCGCGAGTCTTATTTTTAACATTTTTCTTGTTTTGTTTTTCTTTTCAATACAAAAATCCCATAAAGCTTCAGTGCTTGCTATTTAGTTCTGTGTTTTCTTCTGTCTCTAATTTAATGGCCTTAACTTTGGAGTTAGTTGAACTATTTCCATCTAATCTTCATCTTTTCCTTCAATTTCCTATTTATTTATTTGAACTTTTGGTTCAGGTAAATTACCATGCCTGGGGAGAAAACTGGTTTTCACAGGTCCAGAAATGTCTGGTTTTTAACAGCCAAGGTATTTTCTAAGTATTTGTCCCCATCCTAAAATGCACGATGCCCCATAGCGCTATCTTGTAAAACTAAAGTGGGTTTTTAGGGTTGCATCATCATAACTATCAGAGTGTGACTTTGGTTACCAATAACAGTGCTATTATGAAAATATTTCTTCCCAGCTACATTACTGCAATGATTCCAACATATGTAGGATTCCCCTGGTTTTTGGTTTTTTCCCCCCAGCTCTTTGGATGAATTTAGGCTGCTGCTGTTTCATGTTTTACAAGTGTGTAAATCAAGTGAATTTAAAAGATAACATGCCATGCTACTCCCCTACAACACTGACTGACTATTTGACATATTTTGTATAAAAAATAAAAATAAAATTGTAGAGATATTTTCAAAACGGATCTTTGTAACAAATGGATGTTAAAATACTGCACACTTCCAAGAGTGGAATTGTACTATTTCTCAAGTTCTTTTTATATTAAGATAAATGTCCTGGGAATGAAAGAAAGGTTTGTAGAAGTCACCCAGTTCATAACACAAAACTTTGTAGAAGGCACCCAGTTCATAATAAATAAGCAAGAATCATACAGGTAGTCCTTGACTTATAACAGTTTGTTTAGTGACTGTTCAAAGTTACAATGGGGAGCTGAAAAAATTGATCTATGACCATTTTTCACACAACAGTCACAGCATCCCCATGGTCATGTGATCAGAATCCAGACTCCTGGCAATCAACTCATATTTATAATGGCTGCAGTGTTTCAGGATCATGTGATCACTTTTTGGGACCTTCTGATGAGCAAATTCAATGAGGAAGCCAGATCCACTTTACAACTGTGTTACTAACATAACAACTGCAGTGAGCCACTTAACAACTGTGGCAAGGAAAGTTGTATAAATGGGGCAAACTCAACAAATGTTTTACTTAGCAACAGAAATTTTGGGCTCCACTGTGGTCATAAATCAAGGACTATTTGTACGTGGTAATCATAATAATAACCCTTTTTAATTCTCATCTCCAACATATTTTGCTATTCTGTCTCAGTAAAATAAATTTGCATGTATTTTGGAATGGCTTAAGACCAGATTGTGGAGAAGTGGCTCCCTACCTCTAAGATTCATTAGAATTCACTGTTCTCTCTGGAGCAGTTCAAACAACGCTACCCACTCAATTATTCTGCCTATTTCATATTATTGTACCCAATTAGACTATGGAAAACCTATCACAACATAATCCTTAATGAAGTCTTAAAATTATTGAATACTCATATTGTGCAAAGCTTATTGATGTTTATAATGCAGTCAAATTAATCAAAAATTGCATTATACCAACAATTAAACATGCAGTCATGGTATTACAATAAATTCCCCTGACCATTTTCAACCAGAACATTTTCTTGAGAGTTCAGTAAAGATGGGAATAGTTCCTTAGACCAGCATGGATTAGACCTTGTTCTGCTTGCTGTAAAAATGCATAGAGTGAATGAAAAAAGTAACAGACTGGATAGAACCTTGATTATTGTTTCAAAGATAATCACCATGGAGTTACATACCATCAAAGCAATTGTGTGTATCTGCGTAAACTCTGTGAACCTGACTTGTGTGACTTCAAAAACATTTTCCTTGCCAATTTTAAGGAGATAATGTATGATCTATGGTTTATTGCAAGAACCGTGATCTTACTGTATAAATATAATGCAGTTTCTGAAGATTTTAGGTTGTCTGGTGTTTCAACCAGACATGAAAATTGGATTCTCACTATTTATTATGTTCCTTGGTGGTTCTAAAGAATTTTAAAAAAATCAGGGAAAACACTGAAGCAACTAATTTGATTAATAGTATTCAGACAGAAAGATTAGTCTGATACTCAAAGCATTCCAAAGTTAGTATCTCACAAATCTCTTCAGACAACCAGTTTGCTAATGGAACATCATCATTGAATAGAACAGTGTTTCAACCTTGGAAGCTTGGAGATGGATGGACTTCAATTCCCAGAATTCCCCAGCCAGCATGGTTGGCTGGGGAATTCTGGGAGTTGGTGTCCACCGATCTTCAAGCTGCCCCCCAGTTGAGAAACACTGGAATAGAACAATGTTCTACTGACTTTTTCTCCCAAGGTAACTTTTCTCTTTGAAAATCTTTGAGATTCCCATTCTCTTGATTCTTGCCAAATTCATGCATAAATTGACCATACACTTCATTTGTTAGTATCCATGCCAGTTGGTATCTTGAAATAACAGATTACATTATATTTTGGTATTTTTATGAGCTAAATACTAGAACCAGATACTGTATTTGGTGCTGCATTGCTATCTATTTGAATAATGGTGGTCTCTGCAATGCATACCAATAACTCCAGCATACTTACCTTCTGATATTGAGAATTCAGCAATATACTTTGTTAGCTAAGTGTACAAATCTCAATTCCACAGTGAAAAGCATTCTTCGCCAAGAAATAAGCTCTATTATAAATGTACAAAAATTTGGACTAATACTTCAAGGTGGCTTCCGTTAAAAGAACAATCTATGTCCCTATGCTTGCATATCTATCTGCAGCCTTCGGCTTGAATTCTGCTGTTTACTACCTTGTCCCCCCAAAAAATGAGTATTAACTATGCAACAAACCTTGAATTTAACCCTACAAAAAATATTTCAAGCAATTAGCAAAGCCTTTAACTGAAAGACCCAAGGAAGAACTTAGCAATGAATATGTTGTGGAGTAAGCAATTATTTAGATGTCAAACAATTGGAACTTTAACAAAAATTTTGAAATTTGGACATATTACTACACTGGATAATTGTTGGATAATCCAATATTTTAATTTAATAGTCCAACTATTGGCTTATATATTAGCCCACATAGTATCTAAGCAACCTCCATTATATTGACTGATGCTTTTTCAATACTCAAGTTGTCACTTCTACAGCAGCTCTCATAACATGTTGCTTTTCAGACTGAATTTTTTAAAAAAACTATGCATTTTTAACTTTCAAAAGGTAAAGAATTTAAAAAACACATACACAGCTTAGTAACATCAAATTAAAAGACATAATGAAATAAGCCAAAGCCAATGCATCACAACAAAAAGTATCAATGATTATGTGAAATTGGACATTACCTGAACAGAGTAACTCAAGTTCAAACATGTGCATATCAAATAAAATAACATTAAATGAAATAGTATTTTCCCAAAATATGATTCTCTTATAATTGGATTTACTGAAGACAAGCTTCACAATCCCTGCTGTTATTTGTTTGCTTTTATAGGCCACCCTAGACAACAGGAATTATTAATTAGGTAATAGAATGATTATGGACATTATTTTGACTTCATGGATATTTTGGCTCTTTATGTTAACACAGTAACATAATAAGCATTTATTGAAAAATATGGCTCAGAAAGTTTCATAGGCTTAATGCTACCTAAAAAATACATTGCATTCTAAATAAAGATGTATCATACTATTTTTAAACTGGGTGTTGTCTCAAAATCCCAAATATCTTCTCAAACTTGAAAAGGTGATATATAATCTGTTATAGTATATAAAATATGGTAGTATTATGCAATTATCTTCATGGGGCTGCTCTTGAAGACCACTTGGAAGCTACAATCGGTCTGAAATGCAGTGGAGTATCCTTGGTGTTTTGTGAACAGCACAAGAGGCCAGTTGCCTTCTGGAGGCAATTCAAGATTTACAAGGCCCTAGAGTCTGCCTACTCCAAGGACCATCTGTCTCTGCATGTTTCTGCCCATCCAGTGAGGTCAGTTAAGAATGACCCTATGCCAGGTCCCATCAATTAAACTTTGTGAGATCCGGGAAGTGTATTTTGTCAGTGATGGCTTTTCTGCAAATTATTAGCGGGCCCCAGTTGCTATGGAATTGGAAATTGGAATTAATAAATACATAAATACTTGTAGCCAACGTATGCAGTGATAGCCAATAATTTAGATGGTTTTAAAATGGAACTGAAGAAATGCATGAAGACTAGAAAGGCTGAGCTCCAGAATCCCTAGTGCTATAGTTGAAATGCCAGTTGCTGGAGGAAGAGAACAACTGATGATGATCCTCCTTTCCCTCTGTGTTTATGTTTCCCAAATGAAACTAGCTGGGCACCTTGCTGGATTAGACACCTCATCTAGCAGGACTCTTTGTGTTATTAACTCCTGCTAACACAAAAGGACAGGAAAGCATTCAGAAGTCCACACATCTTTAAGCTGCTGAGGTTGAAAACAGAGATTTAGGGCAAGGTGCTGCTGTTTCAGAGACATTGTTGTCCTAAAGTTCACTGTAATGTTTTTGAAGAGATGCAGAATTTCCAAAAGATGTTGAGCAAGCACGCTGAACCATTTTATCCCATCCTGAAGGCACTTGGAGCAGCTTCCCCTAACCCAATCCAGCCCAGGTGCGTTGCATTTCACACCTCATGCTGGACTATGACCATAATAAAGATTGGATTGCAATCTTTATTATGGTCAGTCACAGCAACTCTCTACCATTATATATCAGTTAGGAAACATTTCCTAAGCAAAGAATCTCTTCCTCTGTTAAATTCCAGCTATATAAACTTTTCTATGTAACCCTTTTTATATTAAAACACAGAAAAGCTGCATAGCAGCTCATTTATGTAAACTCTGCAGGATTATATGGTTTTGATAGTTTTATCCCAAAATGGTAAATGGTATTTTAAGAAAAGCTAAAAAGGTTTTTTTGACCTGGCATCTGACCAGGCAGTGTAAAAATTTAAGGTGTGCTTTGAAAATACTAAGACAGCCTCCTCAAATCCAACATCCAGTTCTGAGTCATAGGAACTCTGC